CGCCCGCGCGCCCCCGCCGCCGCCGCCGCCTGCCGGGCCCGAGGTAGGAGGAGGGGAGGGGCGAGGAGGGAGGGGGTGGGAGGGGCGAGGAGGGAGGGGAGGGGAGGGAAAGGAGGGGGAGGGGAAAGGAGGGGAGGGGTGGGGGAGGAGCAGGGGAGGAGGAGGAGGGCGGAGAGCAGAGGCTGAGCAAGAGGAGGACGGGCTGGGGAGGCCAACCGCCCGCCTCCCGTGCCCGGGCGCTGCCGGGGTCCAGGGTAGGTCCCGGGGGCACGGGGGAGGGGACCTGGGCGGCCGCCGCCGAGGCTGGGAGCGCGGCCGAGTGCGGACGCGCTGCCCGCACAGGAGGAGCGGGTGCCACCAGGTACCCCGGACACAGACCCGGGCGCGAGCCTCGGGACCCGGCCCAGGACCCGGAAGGCGGGGTCGAAGGGACGCCCGGCCCGGAGGCCCGTCCTACCCGCCCGGGACCCTGGGGTCAGCCTGGCCCGGGGCCCGTGTGGCCCGAACCAGCCCCGCGGCCTCTGGGGGGCCCCCCGCACACACCTGTAAAGCCAGGCACACACCTGTAAACCGAAAGGTCCTTTGGAAAAACACGTTGTCCACAGGTTGGGGGTTTGTTTCTCAGCCTCAGTTTAGAGGTAAAACAAGTTAAAAATTTGCCATTGATCTCAAAATTGTCATTTTATTTGCATTTGCCATCCACATAAGAAAAAGTTTTCCCAAATACCCTCCTCAAAGGTGTGCAGCAAATAAGGAGAAAGGGTGACAGAAACGCCTTTTCGAGAAACCAATGGCCGGCCTCTAACCAGCCTGACCATTTGAAGGGAGTTGATGAGCGTCTAGTCTCCAGCCAGGGCCACAGCGAAACCAGTGCAGACAGAGGAGAATCACCTGAGTAAGGAACCGCTGTGACACTACAGCTATCTCTCCCTCACTGTGTGCAGTCACCTGCTCAACGCTGGAGATGCGGTCATCTAGTCCTCACTGCAACTCTGTCCATCCTCCCTCTTTAGCTTTGGGCTAAGGGATGAATATGTGCACAGCCCTACTGTATGAGTACCAGAAAGGATAGCCCACTTCCCCTCCATTAGAAGTGAGCAAATACGTATACAGAGAATGGATAAACAGCAAGGTCCTACTGTATAGCACAGAGAACTATATTCAATATCCTGTGATAAACCAGAATGGAAAAGAATATGAAAAAAGAATATATATGTATAACTGAGTCACTTTGCTGTACAGCAGAATTAACACCACGTTGTAAATCAACTATACTCCAATTTAAAAACATTGATTAAAAAAAGAAGTGAGCAAATACACATGCATTTGAGTTGAGAAAGACAAAGGGAGAAATGATCAGAATAGAGCATTTTTAATCCAGTAATCCACCAACAAGTCACTCTGAAAGTGACTGCTTAGCCCATAAACTTCTGCACCTGCAACTGCGCGCCTGAAGGGGAGGCTGATTGGAAGGTCACAGTCAGTAAACAGATAAACATTATTATATGCCACTTACACTTATTAAAACCAAAACTCAAATAGGTTCACTCATCACAATAAGCCACGTTGGACCAAGACTCAACCTCATGTCTGGATTCCAAGTCCAGTTTTCTCCCCACCATCCCAGGGACCTCTTCCACAGGTCACCTCAAGCAAACCTGAATGCTCTTTGTGTCCTCCAAGGGAAAGCTGACAGTTAACCAGGTAATGACTCTGGAGACCAAGAGACAATTTTACTTTATTTTGGTCTTATTTTGGTTGCTTGTTTGTATGTAGAGAAGAGCACACAAGGTCCTAGGTGGAAGGGTCCAGCTTTTGAAACTCCAGACCAGAAAAAGCCTAGTCGCACCCATTATCAAAGACCTGGAGACTGCGTCCAGGGTTCCAGGATGGAAAAAGCTCTGACGAATGTCACCTGGGACATGGCTCAGTTCTTTCAGCATCCCCGCTGCTCATTCACTCTATTTTTTAGAATGCAACTCTTTGATTAGCTTTAATTACTCCAACTGTACAGTGAAGTTTTAGGCAAATTACTTGAACTTCTTGAGCCATCTTTCCTCTGTCAAATGGTGAAAAAAATCATACCTTTCTTAGACTGTTGTTGAGAATTCTATGAGACAGGGCACTGGTTCTTTGTAACCTGTACATCTCGTTTAAAGGAAGGTATCATCATTATCTTTATCAGCCAAAAATTACCTGGGAAAAGTTATACTGGGCCAAATCCTTTCTTCCCAGGGTCTTTAAAAAGTCTTCAACCACACTAATAATTGCAGAATACTGTCGAGAGAATACTACAGCCGAAGGGAGAGTTGGGGAAAGAAAAACATGTTCACCTGACCATTTCTGGGAACTGAACCTGAAGGAAAGAACGTACACATGATATATTCATGGCCCCTGTGACTTTGAGCAGATACATGAAAAATAAACACACCCTGACATGATAATGGTAGCTTGGATTTATACAGTTCTTGTCCAACCGAGACTTCAAAGTGCGTCCCTAAACGCTATCTCATTTATCTTCTCAGCAACCCTCTGAAGCGGTGAAGACAGATATAATCATCCCCATGTTGCAGACGGGAAATAATGAGGTGTCGAGAAGTTATTGCTCGTAGTGATGACGTTCTGACACAAATCAGACTTTTCAGTTCCCCATCCAGAGTGCTTTTTGGTAAGCTCTGGTACTGTGCTAATGGAATATTAATCTAATATTATAAATTACAATATAATATGTATAGGAATGTATATATAATGGAATACTACTCAGCCATAAAAAGAATGAAATAATGCCATTTGCAGCAACATGGCTGGACTTGGAGAGTATTATGCTAAGTGAAATAAGTCAGACAGAGAATGACAAATACTGCATGATATCACTTATACGTGGAATCTAAAAAATACAACAAACTAGTTGATATAACGAAAAAGAAACAGACTCGCTGACACAGAGAACAAACCAGTGGTTACCCGTGGGGAGAGTGAAGCAGGGAGAGGCAAGATAGGGGCGGGGGATTAAGAGGCACAAACTATTAGGTATAAAATAAGCTGCAAGGATACCTTGTACAACACAGGGAATATACCTAGTATTTTATGATAACTATAAATGGAGCATAACCTTTAAGACTTGTGAATCACTATATTGTGCACCTGTAACTTATATGTTGCACGTCAGCTATACTTCAATAAAAAATATTAGAAGCCTCAACTTGTAACCAGCCTTCTTTAAAATTAAAATGAATCAAAATTCAATGATGTGTGATGAGAAACATTAAAAAGGCATAAACTAATTCTTCCAGCATAAATACATTAAGAAATCAAGAATTGTGCACCATTAGTTACCACCTCAGAAAGTTAAACAAAAGAAAGTTATAAAACATTTATGTTTCAGTAATTCCACAAGAACCTAATAACCAAAGAGA